CAACTAGCCTTTCGGAGCTACTTGTTACATGCTTCATGTTCGCTTCTTGGTTGGTTTATTCTTCGACCCTGAAGAAGGAAACCACATATTCCTCCAAAAATATCATTTGGCTTTTAGCGGACTGCAGGGTGTTATATCCAATAAGAAAGAATTCTTCATAACCAGTGCTCTGATAACCTCAAATCCTACAAAATATCATGAATCTATATAAATAAAAATGTAAATATTCGTTTGTTAGTCGTCTTAAATCTCCGAAAGTTCTTCACCGATTACTTCGAAATTTTGATACAACGTTGCATTCGAATGCGCGCGTGTTTTTATATACCTACTAGCTGTACCCGGCCACGCGTGAATCCGGAAAGTATACTTACATGGAAACGCAATAACAGTTGCATATGAATTGCCGAAACAACAAACGCGTTTCTCTGGAGATTAAAGGATAAGAGATTCCGTTGCGTAACAGCGGATGAAACCGGAAAGTATACTTCCATGGAAACGCAATAACAGTGTGCCGTTGCATAGGAATTGCCGAAACAACAAATGCGTTTCCCCGGAGATGAGAGCATAAGAGGTTCCGTTGCGTAATAACGGATGAAACCAAACACTTCTACAAGGTGTTCTGTACTAGCATTTCCTAAGCAACAGATGAAACTAACTCTTCATAAGGTATTCCCTATCCCGTCCGAACGCTGGCTATATGTATAAGAGAGTGTAGCTCCGGCGACTGTTCAGTATCACGAGTGTCTCGAGTATCACGAGGTCACAAGTATCACAAGAGATTCCGAGTGAAATCACAGCAGAAATCCTGAGTTTGCACTCAGAGTTTTGGATTCGACTCTGGCAGCGTTTCCCCGGTGACAGACAACAGAAGGCTCATTGTATAGCATCCGCCGAGGTATAAATAGTCCAGCTTGGACAAGAACAGTCAGTCTCGGGGCAGATGCCGAGGGATACAGAAGAGCGTCTGGAAGTAACCGCCGAACGAGTCAGTCTTGGGATAGCTACCGCCGAATATAAACAGTTTCGATTTATTTTCATTTTGATTTAATTATTTCGTGTGACATTGCGTTGGAATTGGGCTGTGCCGTTTACCATAGCGTTCGTTTCGTGAGTATAGTTTATTTTTCATTGTTTTTCATTTCGTTTTCTTAACTGTTTTCCTTGTTTTTCAGTGCAACTGGCGGTGGGATTGAGCTGTGTCAATTGATCTGCGTTTGAATTGAAATATTTCGTTCGACTGAGCCACAGCAACGCGTGGCCGGGTACAGCTAGTTTCATAATAATTTCTTATGGTCTGTAAGTCGAGGTATGATCGTTGACTACTTCGGCTACCTATCAAAAGTAAAGATATGAATCCACCACATATAGAGAGCAGCACCGTTTCCATTTTGCATCCAACAATAAGATAACAGTGAACTTCATGGCCGGAAGAAGGGACTTAGAACTTAACCACGATGGAAGCCTGATACACCTACTGTTCACCTAGATCTTATTGTTCTGGAGTGGACAGAAATGGAAGGTTGTTGAAGAATATCGAACCTGAAACCTTTAGCATAGAGAACCAGCTACATGTCCCTACATTATCAAGTTTCATAATTCACTAGTCTGTCTAACCTACCCCATTTTTCCTCAGTCATTTAGACTTTGTGGCACACTGAAACACAGTTGCACATACCACAGCGAAGCAACTTGTACTCTGTTCTTATTGAAGACTGAAGACAACACAGGCATGCAAGTTCCCATCTGAATATGGTAAATATTACATAGGCCAGAGAGACTGCTGGCCTGACAAGAAGGCTGAATAACACGACGGGCAAACAAGTCTTGAACATCAGGGCAAATCCGTCGCGAAGGAACAGAGCATCCAGCTTCACAGCACCAGTATCTTCAGCAGGAAATCCAGATACACGGAAAGTACGAGGTGGTATCGTAAAGTTCCCGGACTGTTATTGCTGTAACTGCCTCGGCGAAAGGAGACGAGAGGGGGAGGGAGGGGGAGGCCAAGGTGCGTGTACAACGGTGAACTGTGAATTGTGTAAATCAGCTATAGCGCTGTGTTAATTGTAATTAAGAAGGATTGTAAATGAAGTGCTAATATATCCAATCACCCGAACTAGAATCCGTTATTTTAGTCACGTGTACCTCTCTACGTGTGACAATATAGTTCTCAAATTTTGTGAGGAAGAATACGAGCTCTGTGACACTCAAAGCCATCCCTATTACTCAACAATATACCGTGGCCCAGGGTCGAAACCCACTGGTGTAAACACTTGATAGAGCATTTCAGAATAGATTCCTATTCAGCCAGATTTTCTCCTTGCACTTCATGGTGTAGTTCTATTGTCTGTTTTTCTTTCTCTCTGACAATATCCCCCCCCCCTTTTTTTGGAATTCTACATATTCCATCGTCTATGCTTGTTTGAGTCACGGGTCCCATACCACAGTCCGTATCTCGTAACCTCATTCCTCACCACATGCAAGCGAGTCGCATTGTTCAGTTTCTTAACCATCTCATCTCCTACCGAACTGAGAGTACTCAACCGCACCATATAAATAACATCTAAATTAATTACGGGCACTTACACAATTCCCATATTCCTATTTAAAATATCACACGCGCTCATGCGCGAAGTATACCGGATGTGTACCACTGTTATGTGCACGATGGTACCGGTATATATTTCATTACTAATTTCACGCATAGTTGTCCCTTTGTCTCGCTTCGTGAGCACACGTACTCAATACTGTTCGTTCTTCTACCGCACTGGGGCCTTCATTTACGTCTGTCATATTATTACTCGTAAGAAACATTACTGTGGCGTATAGACCAGTTGCCAAGCAGTTGCTCTGTAAACAACGACCGTTTCTAGGAAACGGCTTGGTAAATATATTTATTTTTGTAGGCAGTAGATCCTTAATACTGCAACAGTTGGACTACAACTATGGAAATGGTTTTTTTCTATGTGACCCGTCCCGAATTGTTATAAGCAAGGGATAAATTTAGTTGGATATTTCAGTTGAGTTCTTTACGGGAGGTAAAGTTATCTCTATAACAGGCCGTGAAGGCCCATAGGGTTGTGAGACGTTGAGGCGCCCATATTTTCTGTAGATAATCGGCTCACAGATGGCGGTGAGGCTGTCAGCCTTACGTGCCGGCCGACCTCAGTCGACCTCAGGCCGTGTGGCTGGAAGAATTTGGTACATTGAAAAAATCCAATTTATCTGGATTAGAATCCGCGACCTCCCGGCTTGTAGTATAGTATCTCAACCAACTACGCTACCGCGTGCCCCTCTGTGCTGGAGTATGTGAAGAAAGGACTTGAGCTCTTGAAGCTGAAGTATCTTCACTGTTAAAGCCGTTGCCAGGGAACATCTGGTGAAATCTTAGCAGGCTGTAATAAGGCTTAGCGGGTGCTGTTGTGATTTATGAGTTGTGGAGATTAGCGGTGGCGCCGTAATTACTGGTAGTCACGAGTCGTGTGTATAAGTGGTCAATAAATCCAGTCACCACTTCAAACTCCGTCTATAATCACCCCCTAAAACGTGACACTATAATATCGATGAGGCTGGCGTAGCCGTAGGGGTTTAGACTAGTACTGGGGAAGGACTTGGTTCCAGTCTCGGAAACGACGCCGACTGCAGAGACTGAAGTTATCCATGTCTTTCTCAGTTCCTCTAGGCAAACGACACATAATACTTCAATTAGGCCTGGACCGCTTCCTTTTTAGTTCATCTGTCATCCTACCCATCGATCCTATATAGTAGTTGAGACATTAACAGCGCAGTAAGACAACTGACCAAGAACAAACAAATGGTCATACTTATAACAAAACAAAAAAAAAATAAAGGCAAACGAAATCCGTGGTCTGTAGTCCACAAGCGAACTATACCGACCGAGCGACCGCCGCTTGTCGGCGAAGTTAGTGCCAACTTGGCCGCGCCATAGCTCTAGCGGTTAGTCGCTGGCTTCCTACCACNGTTAGTCGCTGGCTTCAAGTGGGATTTGTGGTGGACAAAGTGGAGCTGGGGCGGGTTTTCTCCAAGTACTTCGGTTTCCCTGCCAATCTTCATTCCACCAAATTCTCCAGCATCATAATTACCGGGGGCAGGCTACAATAGGCCAATAAGTGGCCGCCGTGCCGAGTGGACCCAGTTGGACTCCACCCCTTCCCCCCGCCCCCACTAAGCGAATTAGTGCCAATTTTAGAGGATAGAGGGTGTCGCGTGGTCAGCGCAAGGAGTCCCCACAGCCGTTAATCTCGGTTTTCTAGGCCGGAGACGCTTGAAACAGCACTTAAATTATCCTCACGAGGCCGAGTGGACAGATCAACTACTTCTCAGAAAATTTAGTAGCGCCGGGAATCAAGACCGGGACCTCTGTATCTATAGCCAGGAACTCTGACCACTAGACCACAGAGGCGGTCACAATATAAAACTTCTGTACTGCCCTGATAACTTGAAACAGCTCTTGGTATAAATTCTGTAGCATATCAACTTGCCTTGGCCTGAGTGGTTCTTCAGACATGTCGTCACATTACATTTCGCGGCGCCCGTTCTGTCTTTACGATCTTGACGAAGTGTACATTTCTCCCTTATCACAGTTATAACTAAACTATGAATCTGAACATTCTGTATCACATGGTCATTCTGTTTCTACTGCGATGGCATTGAATTAGAAGTACACCTGTAGAATTGTCTTCGATGTCATGCACTTCATGCCGAGTTTCATTAAGTTTGTCCATTAGTTCGAACCAGTGCGTGAACAGTATAATATATTCTTCTCTTTCCTTATGGAATGATGGACACCAAAACTCAGATTCTCATCTAAATCCGCTCTTTTTGGTGATATCACCACCTCAAAATATTATTCCATTTTCTCCGAAAAAAATAATTTGCAATAAAAGGAAACAACAAACCAAATATTTTAAAACGCTCCTTGCTTCTTGAGCCTCCATAAATGTTTTTGAAAACAAATATTTAATTAACTGTAATGTCCTTACCTCATATCCTTGTCACACTTATTTCCAACAATGACCATTGGTACTCTTGGCAGAGGTGCCTTCTTGCGTCCGCTGCCTGAACTATTTGCTGATGCACATGCGCTTAACTTGGTCTCCAGAATTTGCTCGCGCAAGCGTACTACTTCTTCGAAAGATTCCCGGCTGTCCATACTGAATACTAACACGAACAAGTCACCTGAAAAAGAATATAAATACAGAGTGATTCACGAAGTTTTACCCCCACTTAGGGATGGAATTCTTGAGGTAATTTGGAACAAAAAATGTTAATATACTAATGGTATCCAACTCATAATTAAAGAGATACAGTAATTTGAAAACTGGCGAAAAATCTTTTTTCTTCGAATTTCAGTCAAAATAAAATAAATTAGAAANTGGGACAGGCATACATTTATGAACAATGGACGTCAACCCCAGTGAGGTGAAATAGAAATCTGAATGGATTTTATCTTGCTTTACCTTGAAAAGAGAACTACAGCATGTGATTTTAACATGGACTAACACAGTGTAGCAGTTTTAACATAATTTAATAAAATATTTGTAACATATCAGGACACCTGAAGATGGCCATTTGGGGCCAAACATGTTGTGTCAAAGTGTATAAAATGTTAAATTAAGATTAAGTAGTCAATAAACAAGTGTTGCAATATTGACAGACGATAAATACATGGACATTAAGTTAAACGATTGCAACAGGATGCTGAAATACAGAATTACACTACACATGTTTGAAGACAAGGGATTTGAAAAGATATTTGGATGTAAGACACACAAAATAAGCAATTTAGCATATTATATTTACACTAATCACCTGGTACTGTTAGGAGATTACATGCCATTTTTTTAATTGTAGGTCAGTGCCCAAACGGACATGCAGGGCTATCTAGGAGATTATAGCAAACCTACCCCCATAACAGCTCATAATTCACTGTCTGCTTTTCTGCTGTAGTTTAACTTGCTTAGTCTATATAAAGGTCTCAAAATGATGACCCTTTGCTTCTAAGCATGCTTAACACAACGGAAACATGTTTCCAGATACAGTACATGTCATACTTGCTGCACAGGTATCATGGTATTGCCTTGAAGTTCTTCCAAAGGGTGCAGATTGTTCACACATATATTTTCTGTCACCTTGCCACACATATAAAAGTCATATGGATTTGAATTCAGTGATCACAGAGGCCACAACCATTGACTTAGGACTTACTTATTGAAGATTTCATATAATGCACTCATACAACTATTTGCAGTGTATGCTTCTGTACCACCTTGGATACAATGTTTGTACAATATTTCTTCATCAGTCAGCTGACTGAACATGGTGACAATCAAACTTGCATAGCAGCTGGAATTTACTGTTTCAAGGAAAATCAAAGGTTCAATACTGTCCACACATTAACTGTACAGAAAACACAAAGTTTTACACCATGCAATGCCACTTCATGAAGAGCATGAGGATTTTCTGTGTTCCTATATTTGTTACATTGGCTATTTATGTAACCACTTAGAGTGAGTCATGCCTCATCAGAATGAAACTAGTTCTGCGTCAATAAGTCCACTGAATACTGATTCATGAAACTACCTGCAGCATCTAATTCTTGTTTTGCAGTCTGGAGACAAAAAACTTCAGTTTTGTAAGGATGTAACTTAAGTAACTTTGTACCTGCATCAGCTGTGCTTTTTGTCTATCCACACTGAAGAGTCAAAAAACATAACTTATATGGGCTTCTTTCCAAGTGGGCACTGAGGTCATCAATTTTTCTTTGTCAGTACATCCCTCTTTCAAGATTTTGCCTATAACCGATTCCTTGACCATATACCATACAGGGTGATTCACGAAGTTTTATTGCCACTTAGGGAGGGCATTCCTGACGAAATTTGGAACAAAAAATTTTAATATACTAATGGTATCCAACTCATAATTAAAGAGATACAGTAATTTGAAAACTGGCAAAAAATCTTTTTTCTTCGAATTTCAGTCAAAACAAGTTAGAAATACAATTCAAACACTTTTTAAATCAATGTTTTAGGAAATAAGCATTATAAAACCAATTTTTTTTCAATTTCTTAATTTTGCATTGTGCAACATTTTTCATCGATTTTATGTTACAAAATTGCATTATTTTCAGCATCCCATTCTGTAAATATACCAATGGTTGCATATCACACCCTTCTATCAATCTGTTTCCTTTAAACTGTAGTGCTTTAGAAAACGACTGGATTTACATAAGATTTTCAAAAATGTCTCCCTGCACCTCAACACAACACGTCGTATGGGTATGAACCGCGCTTGTAGCATTTTGCAGTTCCACACGTTTGTTCCTTATTGTCATCAACGTGTTCAGAATACGTTCAAGCAACGCTTCACGTGTTTGTACCTTTACCTGATACCCAATGTCCTTCATCCAGCCCCAAATGCAATAATCCAACGGTGTTAGATCTGGCGATCTGGGAGGCCAGGCGTTACAGCCTCCGCGACCAACCCACCGCTGTGGAAAATGCTGATCCAAGTGAGCTGCTACTGCGCGGGAGAAGTGAGGTGCCCCATCATGCTGAAAGTACATCCGGCGTCTTGTTGCCAGGGGAACATCTTCAAGTAACTGTGGTAATTCTTCTTCTAAGAAGTGGAGGAAAATCTCACCAGTTAAGTGGCCAGGAAAAATGAATGGCCCAATTAGCTGATCATACAGAACACCACAACAGACATTGACACTGAATTGGTGTTGAAAATTCGATTCTATCGTGGCACAGGGATTAATGTCTGCCCAAACATGTAAGTTGTGACTGTTGTTGACCCCGTCCCATGTAAACTGCGCCTCATCGCAGAACATTATCAAGCGATACAACTGCCGATTTCCATTTAACCAGTTGCAGAACTGCAGACAAAGAGCACGGTCTCCTGGTTGTAGGTGTTGTACTTGCTGTAAATGATAAGGGTGCAGCCTGTTCTCATGAAGAGCCCTCCGCGCCACGGACTGAGGAACACCAAACAGCCGAGCTAGACGTCTTATACTGGCAAGTGGACTGCGCTCTACAGCATCAAGAATGTTTCATTCTTTGCACAATTCATGTTGAGGATTTCATTTGCATTGTATAAGAACGCTGGGGAGAGAACCAGTTTATCTTAATGTATTGAATGTACTGCTAATGGATTTAGGATTCGGAATCCTGCGATTAGGATAACGCCGGTGATATTCGGCAGCAGCGGCTCTCGCATTTCCATCACATACACCCAAAGAAACACCATATCGGCGTATTCCTCAGGGGAAACTGTGTACAGCATCTTAACTTCACAGTCACCAACACAATGTCCTATTTACGACTGGAACGCTCTGCCTACCTACGTGAAACATTCCAGCCGGTCTGCGTTATCTGCTGACACAGGCCC